TTCATGCTAGTACCTGCCTGTCCTGGCTCATCAGTTGCTAGAATGGAAGGTGGGTATGGGATAAGGAAAGGATTACAGGATCCACACCCGTGCTGGCGAGACAGTGATCTTAAACTGGAGTTGAGCAATGTATTTTGAATGAATAGTTAATATGCCAAAAAATGCAGGTTTGCTTAGCCTAACCACAACTTGCAAATCAGACTCGGTTTAGTCTGGGGGAAGTACATTTCCACAGCCAGCAGTCTCTGGGTGTGTGCCCATGGCTTGCTTCCAGCCTAGTTCTCAACTTCAGGGAGCTGGCTGACAGTGCAAATAAGGAGGTGCAGTGATGTTAGAATGGCAGTTTTCTGACTCTTAAGACAATTATTATTTATTTGCTATGTCTTGCACCTTACCATGTGCTAACAAAGTAATTAAAGATAAAGGGAGCCTCCACCTATATCTTTTTCCTCTCACTCTATCATCTTCCTCTTCTATGTTTGCCTTCCCCCAGCTCTCCTTCCCCACTGTATACTCCACTGATGCCACACGTACAGTTAGGGAGTATAATGGACCTCCCAGTCACCATATGGGATGATTTAGTTGGGTTTGGTCCTGCTTTGGGCAGGGGGTTGGACTCTATGACCTCCTGACCAACCCTATGATTCTTTCCTCTTGTATTCCTCCCCTCCTACTCTCTCTTCTATCCTCCATTATATTCTCCTTCTCTTTCATTCTACCCTGCTCACTCCACGTTATTTCTGCTTTCTCCTGAATTCATAGGGTCAGGAGGTGAAGGACAGCTGACAAAACCATCTTGTTCCTGGCGAGATCCCCAAGGAAAGGGGAGCCAGCAGTGCCTGGAGTGAGAGGAAGAGCCACCAGTGGAAAAGCTCTTTCTTTAAAGGAAAGAAAGTGGATAGGACATTCCTGTTTGGGATACGTCTTTTCCCCATCCCTCCATAAGATGCTATTACTTCACGTATCAGTAGGCATGGCTGATGGCCTCAAATGCCTCAGCCAAACCTTTCCCTCCCTCATGGTACATTCCTCAGGTGGGGAGTATGTGTCACCACAAATAAAAATGGTAACCCCCTCTACTCATGGGGGAGGGAGATTTCCCTCTACTAAAAGCAAACGAGGGTGGAACCTCTATGCTTTTGCTTACTGGTTGTGCCATTGGTTTTGCCACCACTAGCAGCTGGCTGACAGGTGCATTCTACAATCCTATAGTTAATTGGTAATAAGGCTCTCTCTAGACATGTCTGGCTTCAGGCAGGCCCACCAACAGGGGGAGGCAAAGGGGACAGTTGTCTCAGGGCCCAGAGATTCAAAGGGGCCCAGGGCTCCCAGCTGTCCCAGGCCCTTTCAATCATTATTTTCAGAGCACTGCTCAGGGTGGCGCTGAGGGAGGGGCGCATTGGCACACTCCAGGCAGCACAAAAGGCGGACTGCAATCGGACCCGCCCTTTCAGGGAGTGTGAAGATCCTCCCACCCCCAACTTCGTTCAGGGCACTGCGGAGGCTGTCAGCACCCCTGGTTCCAGGTATCAAAATGTAGGGGTAGGGGCCCGCAGTGTTGGCTACTGAGGCAGAAATACTCTATGCTGTGAGCAGCCCAACAGTCCACTGCTGGCATTATGGCCCAGCCCTGCACCCTTTGCAATCAATGGCAATATTTCCCTTGACTCCAAGAGGAGCCATTTCCCTGTTGGCTCTTGAGCTCAATAGGCCCAGTATGGCTGGATGTAGCTTCTTCCTTGTGGTTTGCTGCTTGGATCATGAGTGATGGGGAGGTTGTTCCTCCCTGTGGAAGAGTTAATATGCCAACTTAATGGTGGCCAAACCTTACTGTCTCATATAGAGGTGAAGTCTGAGACTGTGTTGCACACACCCTGCTGACATTGTACTAGGTGATGGAATTTTGATTTGGACCCCATGCACTAGCAATAGGAATCTAGAATAAGAGAAATGTTTAAAACTGTTTGAATCTTGTTCCCAGTGTGATAGTTTTTTTCCATGTTAATCTCCTATTAAACTATCCACAGGCAGCCGACAAAGGAATTAGCATCGCATAAGGAGATTGAAATACAGCTACATATCTGTCCTTGATATAGCTGATTTAGAATAATGGCGTCATTTTCGTGTACAATTCTCTTCCTTTGCTGAATGCTATTACCCTCAGTAATACCTTTTGCACCTCAGTTAATACAGCCATATAACAAATGCAAATCTGTACTGGCAAATGCACACTGCTTGAACTTTAAAATATTAATTTTAAATGTAGCTATGGCTATATTTAATAGTCATTTAAACTAATCCTAGAAAAGCACACACTGAGATAATGAGATCTATAAATACTAGTTGGCATTATTGATTCACATGGATTGCTTCTGTGGATTATGTCCATTTACCACATTTCTTTTTGCACCTGAACAAATTGTGATTTTTTTAAAAAAGGCATTCCTTTCAACTCCACTGAGTTTCAGAGGAGCCATCAGGAAATAGTTTATAAAAGAACAAAATTTAATAATAATTAAGCTCTTCCACACTTTCCATCAGTAGGTCTCAAAATATTTTGCAAAGGAGGTTGGAGAAACTGAGGCAGAGATCCTGTGACATACCCAATGACACCCACCATGTCAGTGGCAAAAAAGGAACCCATGTCTCCTGAGTCCCAGTCTAACATTCTGTCTACTAGGTAACACTGATTGTAAAGGAGACAAATATCCATTTCCGATTGCTTTCCCACCCTCTTCTCTACTCAGCTAAGGAGGGTGAGGGAACCTCTTAGAAGGCATCTCTGAGTGTTGCAAAATCTTCAAGTTATTAAATGGCTTCCAGAAACTGTTTGGGAAATTTAATTTATAGGGATGAATTTCCTGACTGAATAATCTTTTTGTTGGTAAACAAAACCTTCCTAAACCCTTCCACTCTCTGCCATGGGCTAGGATTCAAAGACCTGCGTTCCATTCTCAGTTCTGATACTGAACCACTGGCTGACTTTCAGTAAGTCACTGCACATCCCTGTACCTCAGCTTCCTTAAATACAAAATGTTAATAATGATATTGATGTCCCTTGCAATGCAATTTGAGATCTATGGATCTAGTGTTTTTCATCCATAGATCGCCTCTTCATTAACACTCCTCCAGAAGACCCAGTTCTGATCTCACAGCCGTTTTAGATTACTAACTCCTTTGACTTCACAGATCGCCTCTTCATTAACACTCCTCAAGAAGACCCAATTCTGATCTCACAGCCATTTTAGATTACTAACTCCTTTGACTTCAGTAGAATCACTCCTAATTTACTTTGAAGTACTATTAATAAATTAAATGAGATCCATTTAAAACAATATTACACTCTCTATAAATATCTGTCCCATGATTCAGAATTCCTTATGTCAATACACTATTGTAAAAAGCAACTAAGTAGCACCAATTTCTCTAGGAGATGGAAAGAAATCAAAATGACTGATATCCACCATAACTGGGTGCAGGTGAACAATATGGTATGTGTTTATGGATTACCTCAACTTCTGACACTTCTTGATTGCTGCAAGTTTCCTATATCTAGAAGAGCACACTAAAGTAAAAGAGCTGATAGAGTTTCATCTGTAATTTTGAGTTCTTTGCATTTGTTGGCGGAAGTCAAACTCATAATAATATTTTAAGCCAGTCACAAGTGCAGCCAAAAACATCACTATTCTACAGAATGCTGGCCAATATTTTAAGCCAGTCACAAGTGCAAAAACATCACTATTCTACAGAATGCTGGCATTTCAGAGTACAATGAGGCAGCACCTGACATGAAATTAGCAACAGAGTCCTTTTTATCAGTTAAAGATTTGGGACTGTAATCCTACGGTGCTACACAAAGAATTCAGCAAGTAGCATGGACCCTCTAAGTGCAAGGGTTCAGGCCAACATATTCTGAAATGGATGCCTCTGAGTGTGGGTTCCACTTAGCAAGGGTTCAGGCCAACATATTCTGAAATGGATGCCTCTGAGTGTGGGTGCCCAACTTGTTGGAGCCTGCCTGTAAGAAATGTTGAGCATCCATAGTCCTAACTGAAGAAAACTTACAATGCTGAAAGCATTGTTAATAGAGAAGGTAAACAAATGAGAAGAAATAGAACGAAATAGTACTATGATAAAAACACTTCAGACAGGCATGTTGACAGCACCTCCCAAAATACTTACCTAAAGATAACAGCAGTATCAAGAAGCAGAATCACTTTAAATAGGTGCATGCTGCCGGATTCTTTACTTTCAATGTGGCAGCGTTAGTGTAACAGAGCATTTTTCTCAGTTACACCAACTATGGGGGAAAGGGATGACTTATCAGACTCACTAGCGAGCTGCCTGGTAAATGCCCTGTGTAGACCCTGTGAGAGCAAACTAAAAGTGCCTAGAAAAAATTAAACAATAGTCTTGTAGCACCTTAAAGGCTAATAAAACATGTAGCTGGTATCATGAGCTTTCGTGAGCACAACCCACTTCTTCAGATGAAGTGCCTAGTTCCCATTATCATCCTCCTGCAGGCAAACCAGGTGCTGTTCAGCTTGCAATGACAGTGCCTGCGTGGGGCAGTTTCACAGCAGCCCACAAGTGCATGCTGCAATTTACACTCTCTAGTCTGAATGGTGGGATCACACAGCCATGCCCTTAGAGTAGAAGTTGGATTTTGGTGCCTGGTTCTGCTTGCAGTTGCATCAGAATAAAACAGGAGTAATTCTGCTGAAGTCAAAGGAATTATACAAGTGTAAAATGACTGTGAATGAAGTCCTTGTGTGAGTTTATATAGCTGTCAATGACGAAGAAATGGAGACCATTCCAAAATCCCAGTGTTGCAAAGAAAACGTATGGGAAGAGGTTGAAAGAAAGAAGCACTTGATGATAACTGGGTGCAAAGACTAAACAGCATCTAGAACACCATGGCGGGGTAGTGGGAAACCTGTACAATTATACTAAGTCAGATAAGCACAACATTCAAGATAGCACATATACTACCTCATGCAGTAGTTTTCAATCTGTGGTCCATAGTCCCTCAGGATCTGCAGACTATTCTTTAGGATTTCCAAAGCAGTCCACATCTCAAGTTGAAATTTTTTAGAAGTCTGCAAATGAAAAAAGGTTGAAACTTACTGATCTAGTAATTGTACCTAGCTCCAATTTAGCATAATTAAGGAAGTCAATTAGCCCATACGTTGAATCCACCATATCTGATTTTCCTTGAACTGAATAGGATTCTGCAAGAGTGACGCACAAGTTGCACTTAAACCATTCATTTCTCCTTCGTATTTCTTTGCCATCTTTTTGGTATATTATTCCTGAAAATGAGCAAAGTAGAATTCCATTTCTATTCATTCCTCCCAAGCACATATATCCTATCTGTTCCACAGACTGAAAATGACTTTGAATTCCTTATAGCTGATGCCTGCCTGAAGCCCTTCACTGACTTCACCTCATGTTTGCAAAAGCTGCTAATTCTCTGCATCATGGTTGCTTACCAATGCATAACCATGGCCCTCTCTGAAGTCTGGTTGCAAGAGCTTCAGTGCCATCAGTCTAAAGCTGTCTAATTAAATATCTCAGCAGGGAGGGTCATGTGAAGACTTAATCAGAGGAGAGTTCCCACAAAGAAACAGCCTCCGTTTTCATACACAAAAAATATTGCTGTGGGAGGGGACTTTTTCCTTCAAAACTGTGACCACATATCTTTCCTTTCTTATGTAATACTTTCATACCCATGCAGGACCAACAGTTCTAAGTCATCAGAGGGAATGATAAATATAACTTTAATGTAACAGCAACTATCAGAACAAAGTTGCTTGCAGATTGTAGGCGGATGGCTGAATTATGGTTTGTTCTAAGGAAGGGGTGGGCAAAAGGGCCTCCGCGGGCCGGATCCGGCCCACCAAGTGTGTGGATCTGGCCTGTGGAGGCCCTGCTGCTCCCCAATTAAGGCCTGGGGGTGGGAGAGCTATGTGAAGCTTCCTTCTCCCTGCCCCAGCCCTGCAAAGTGCCACGGGCTCCTCACAGGATGGGAGGAGGCTTCCTGTGCTCCCCCACCCCCAGTCCCTGATTGGCCTCGGCATGGGGGAGTATGACAAGCCTCTTCCAGGGCATGGGTGCCTAGTGCGAAGGGGGGGCAAAAGGGCTCCCCTATCCCCAGACCAATCATGGTCTGGGAGTGGGGTAGCCTCACCCCTTCCCATTTAGGCTCCACCCCTTCCTGTTTAGACTGTGCCCCTTCCGGGGTGACCCGGGGCTACTTTAAAAATTTTTGAAGTGGCCCTTCGGCAAAAATTATTGCCCACCCCTGTTCTAAGGACAAATTGTACTTATTTGGATACCAACACAACTGGAAGTGCCATTAGAACCAAACAGGCTTTTCTCTACTGGTGAATTTGTAAAAATGGCAACATGCACTAAATATCTCAGCTTTGCATTTTCACTTGGACATGGTAAAACATTAACAGCTTGAAAGTGAAGAACACACAAGGTGCAATGCACTCAGGGACCACTGAGTACACACTATTACATAAAAATGTGCTTTATGCACACAGACTAATGAATTAAGCATTAATAGTTAAGGCTACAATTTAGTCACAGAGGTTGTGGAAGTCATAGAACCCATGACTAGTGAGCTTTGTGGTTTCAGACTGTGACAACCCCGTGAGTTCCCAACTTCCACGATTGGCAGGGGGACTTTGCAGCTCCACCTCCAAGCTACTGTGAGCCCCCAGAGATGCAGTCAGTGGCAGTACCCATCACCTCCCAACTGCTGAGGGTGGCAGGGGCCCCCAAACTCTCTACTGCAGGTGGCGCTAGACCAGTCTACTCCTATATCAACTACTGTGGGGGTCCCTCAGCTCATATGTGCTATGTAACTACCCCACTGAAGGTGGTGTGGGAATCCCCAGCTCTCCATTTTGTCACATACATTTTTACTAAAAATGTAGGACAGTCATGGATTTTTTTTATTACCCATGACCTCCCCGTGACTTTTACTAAAATTATCCATGACAAAATCTTAGCCTCAACTAAAGTGCTTTTCATTTATACTGTTTTGGGACAAGAAAAGCTTAACTGCTGCAGGAAAACTGGTGAGAGAACAATTTAAAATAATAGTTCTTTTCACATGTTCAGAACTTCAACCCTGCTTCAGGCTACCCTGGTTTTTTTTTCCAGGAAAGGGGGCAGGGACAATAAAACAAAAAAAATGCACTTACATTTTTGCACCCATAATGTATTACAGGGACCAAATGTAGTTATTAGCTATCTAACTGCCTTATTTATGAATCTAATCAGGTTGTATGTCATCTCATTATTTATTATTATTATAGCTAGTTGGGAATTGTTTGACCAAGTATTTTTTCAATAGAAAATGTCCACTTGTTAAACCAAAGCTTTCTGAGGGATAGCCTTGGTTTCAATTAATATTCTGTTCTGAATAAAACCTTGCAGATTCAAAATTCTCCAACAAATCCATTTCAACATTTTTTAAATAAAAAGGTCTTTTTTTCCCCTGTTTGAAATGACCTTTTGCTAGGAAATTAAATTTATAGCTTTATTTAAATAATGGAAAGTCAAAATCAAAATGAAATATATGACTGACCCAGATAAAAGTGTTGGCTGTGGGTTGCTGTGTTTGTTTGTTTTTCAGATTTTTCAATTTGTGAAAAAATTAGAGGTTTTGAATTTGTCCTAATTTTGGATGGGAACAATTTTACGACATTTTCAAAGTTTTTTGGGCAATGTGAAAATCTTTTCCCACCCAGCTGGCCTCATTAACTGTAGCCCCTACTGAGTGAAATAGCATAAAAATAGGTTAAAAACTGATATCTTTAACATAAAGAACAGCCATACTGGGTCAGACTAAAGGTCCATCTAGCCCAGTATCCTGCCTTCCAACAATGGCCAATGCCAGATGCCCCAGAGCAAGTGAACAGGACAAATAATCAAGTGAACACTGTCTTGTCACCCATTTTCAGCCCCTGACAAACGGAGACCAAGGACACCACTCCACCCATCCTGGCTAATAGCCATTGATGGACCTATCCTCCATGAATTTATCTAGTTCTTTTTTAAATCCTGTTAAAATCCTGGTCTTCACAACATCCTCTGGCAAGGAATTCCACAGGTTGACTGACCCAGATAAAAGTGTTGGCTGAGGGTTGGTGTGTTCGGTTTTTTTTTTTTCAGATTTTTCTTTTTCAGGTTGACTGTGTACTGCATGAAGAAAAACTTCCTTTTGTTTGTTTTGCTCCCTATTCATTTGTTTTAAATCTGCTACCTAATTAATTTTGTTTGGTGATCCCTATTTTTATATTATGGGAACAAGTAAATAACTTTCCCTTATTCACTTTCTCCATACTCTCATGATTTTATAGACTTCCATCATATCCCCCTTTAGTCTCCTCTTTTCTAAGCTCAAAAGTCCCAATCTTATTAATTTCTGCTAAAATTGCAGTTGCTCCATACCCCTAATCATTTTTGCTGCCCTTTCCTAAACTTTTTCCAGTGCCATCTTTTTTGAGATGAAGGAAGCCTCTTGTAAAAATATAGGTAAAATTATGACAGCAGAGTTAGCCTTGACTCTAATGGAAATTGACCGAGGCTATGTCTACACTTGCAGAGATTTCATGCTGTCATTTTCACCTGTGATACTGACACAATAAAAAAAGAGCACTGGTTTGTGTATTCACTTACTTCCACAGGCATCAGCACTTTGCAGCACTTCCATTCCATTAGGGCAACTATCCCACGGTAAAGCTCTCTCCATTTTAAGGATAGGTCTTGTGAAGGGAAAGGGGAGGAGGTGGAATTCGCAGTGCATCATGGGTCCTTGCACGAATCTCATTCTCCAAGCACTGATCAGCTCCAGTAGCACAGCATTGCTCCAAGTAGGGGATCATTTGCTCTATAGAGCAGGCCGTGTCACCTGGACAGATAATAAGTGAGCTCTTGTCAGGAAAACAGGAAGGGGAAATTCAAATTTCTCACCCGGGGGGGGGGGGCGATCTGTTTACCTGGCATCAGAACAGCAGAGCACCTGGCCAAGGGCCATTGTGGGATCCTCTGAAGACTAAAAGCTGTGTAAACAGGAAGAATATGTCTTCATTTACACATCACCACAAAAAGCATCACCAGTAAGAGCTGTACATCTCTCACTGAAGTAGTTCTCTTTTAATGGTAAATCCTCTGAATATAGGCCACTTTTTTGCGAAAAAAGGGATTTTTCTGCTTTATATGGCAAATTAAACCTGCCCTAAATGGCTACATACTTTAAAATCCCTTGTTAGTGTTGTTATTCCAGAAGATAAAGAATTCAAATTGAAAGCAAGTGGCCTGATTTTTAGAGGTGCTGACCCTGTACAATTTCCACTTCAGTATCCAATGTTGTCAATGAAATTATGGGTACGGAGCACTTTTCAGAATTAGGCCAGGGCTAAAGTCCCTTTCAAACTCAGCTTGCTATGCCTCGGTTTACCAGAACAAGCTGTGAAGTGACATGCTGTCTTGTATCTCCTGGAACTGACAGGTGGGAGCAAAATATTTGCAATTCAGTAAAGTGCTTTAAGACTTTAAGAATTTAAGACAGTCCAGGATCTACCTCAAACCCAAATACCCTGACCCACCCCTTCTCAAAGGCCCTGCTTCACCCCTTCGCTGAGGCTCCACCCTCCTCGCTCTGTGAAGATGGGGTACAAGAGAGGGGGACTGAGTAACAGAAGTACCCCCCTGCCTCTGTGTCCCCCACCATGCACAACAAGCAGGAGGCTCCCAGGGGGTAGCTCTGGGCAAGAGCAGCAGGGCAGTGCAGAGTGGGGCAGCTGAAGTGCCGGCACTTGATAGCCTCCCAGACCACCTAGTTAGGATCACCTGTCAGAAGTTCCAAGATCTACTGGGTGGTGACCACTGCTGTAGGAGATAGCCTTGCACTGCCACTTGCTACAAGCTCATATAACATGCATAAATCCATCTCCTAATAAATACTCTTCCCCCTATTAACTTATTTCAGAGAGGTCTTTAAACTGTATTGCTAGTAGTAGTGCTTAAGACACTTCAGATTTACAGAGTATTATTTAATGAGCCGTTCTTTATAATCATCCTTCTGCTAGGATGTCAACTCAATGCCTCTTCAGAAGCTGCAGGCAAAAAAAAAATAGGGTGTAGCTCTGGTATCCTGGATAGCATTTCTTACAATGTTCAAGACTGTGTATGAACTATTGGTAAGTATAAAATAACTTTGATTTCAATGAGCGATAGGTACCTATAGAGGATCTGACTTCTAGTGACAGTAGCATCAGTAAATAATGATTAATTCACAGAGAGTGTTGAGAAGTCTGGTATACTAAAAACATTCTCTGGCACATGGTACACTCGAGCAAATGCTACAGAGGGCTGCCTGACATATGTGAGGTTAGCTGCAGGGCTGCTTTAAATTGCTCCAGTTCATATAATATAGTGCAATGCCTATTAGTATAAATGGAATAGCCTCGTGGGGTAAAGTTCTTTTGTGACAGAAAAATAGATGTAATAAGAGGGTTCTGCTTCACAACTGTATAGCTAATATAGTGTTTTGGTCTCTACATTTGTCAAGTTTTGAAAATAGTTGCATCCTTGCTTCTGTTGCAGTTAGGCCATTCTAGCCAATTTTGTTCAGGACAGGAAGCAGAATATATCCAATTTGTAATGGTGGCGTGAGTTCTGGTTCATGAATTACCTCATATGTAAGAGAGTTTGTTTACCTGTGCATTCAAGAAAGAGATAGGACCACCACATTTGGTAAGCAGCTTCATCTTATACCTTAAAGAAAGGTCAGGGTTTGGTTGTTCCAGGAAAAATGGGATGTGCCTGGAATGGGATTGCTTCTCATAAAACCATACAGAAAAGACAGAATCACTAGGTAGGTGAATGGGGCCAGCTGGAGTCATGTCCCTCCCCATCTGGGACTGCCCAAGTCCTGAGGCTCCCACCCCCTAGGTACCCTTTACAGAGAGTTGGGGGGGGGGACAAAGCTTTCCCCTCCTCTTCATATGGGAACATTGTTGACTGTTCCCCTTCATCAGGGAGTAAGGCAAGGGGAAGTGCACAATTTGCTGCATTTGTCATTCTGGCTGGGGAGGGCAGGGGCAGACAAACCTGGACCTGCCCCAGCCGGGAGACATGCAACCCTTCCCTGGCTGTGCCAGCTGGGGCTGCAAG